GGCTGGATTCGAACCTGCCACCTTAGGTGTATGTGGCTGGCGCCTTAGCTGCTTGAGCCACAGGCACCAAGCCCTCTTTTTGATTTCTAATTGGAAATTACTGCTGTAAAGAAATATTAGTCATAAACATTTCCATATGTTTATTCCCTCTCATCACTTCCTAATTCATATTCATTCTTAAAATATTTAATGGGTTCCTTTTTATTAATAGTTTTTGTTTTTCTGTTTCATTTCTTAATGACTAGTAAAGATTTCGAAGGCTGTAAGAGAGCAATGATTAATAGGAGTTGAGGGGGTTGGGTTTTGGCTTTTGGTTTTTGGTTTTTTGAGATAGTCTCACTCTATCATCCTTGTAGAGTACCCTGGCATCATACCTCACAAAAACCTCAAAGTCATGAGCTCAAGAGATCTTTCTGCCTCAGCCTCCCAAGTAGGTGGGACTACACATGCCCACCACCACATCTGGCTAGTTTTTCTAGTTTTAGCAGAGACGGGTCTCACTCATGCTCAGGCTGGTCTTAAACTCCTGAGCTAGTCAATTCACCCACCTTAGCCTTTCAGAGTGCTGGAATCACAAGCTGAGCCCTCATGCCTAGCCTATCTTGTGGTTTTAATTTGCCTTTCCTTCATTATTAGTGAAGTTAAACATCTTTTCATGTACTTGTAATTTTTGTCCCATGACTTAATATATTTCTGTTCTTTGCCCATTTTTTATTCCAGTTTCTTCTGTCTTTTTCTATCCATTCATAGGAGTTCTGTGTATGTTCAGGAATCTGTAATTCTATCAGTTAATGTGTATAAGTTTATCTTGCCTCCTTATGAATGGAAATTCTTAAGTAAAACATACTAGCCTTTGTCTTTATTCTTAGTGCTTTCTGTGTTCTGTCTAATAATCCTTTCTACCCTTAAACCCATGAGGGAAGGACTTCATCTTGTTTGCTGTTATAACTCAGCACAACAGATCTCCGTGTATATTTGTTGAATGAAAGAATGAATTTGTGTGATATTTACTTTTGTCTTTCTCTGTGTGAGTCTTGTCAGAGGTTTGTCTTTTTTTTGTTAGACTTTTAAATAAATATTTGACTTTGCTGATCCTTTCTATTTGATCTTAATTTCATTCATCTTTATTTACTGTTTCTTTCCTTCAACTTTTTTGGAGTTTATTTTGTTTTTTTTTCTTTTCAGTGTTTATTTTTTATCAAAGTAACATATACATTTAGTTTAACGAAACCACAAGGTTTCCTCTTTCCCCCTTTCCAGAAGTAACTGCCACTATCGCTTCTTTCGGCTGATTACTGGGTGTATCTGCTTCCACATCTCTAATACGTTTGTTGCTACCTCTTGACTTTTCAGTTTTAGACAGTATTTATTGAAATTCTTTCTATGAAAAATGAGGATTAAATGCAGCCGCACCACCCCTGCTTATTAACCTTTATCCCCTCTGTAGTGTCCCTTTGATTAGGTGAACAATCCATGTTTGCTGCATATACTCAGCTGCTGCTTTCCTGTTCCCAGAGTGTGTTGGCTCTTAGCTTATGCTGATCACTGATTTGGTCTTGGCTCTGACCTGTGCCTTCTGGAAGGGCAGCCTTCTGCATCTGATGCCCAGCTGGCATCCTGCAGATCCCTTCCGTCCTGAGCTGGGCTCACTGTGTCCTTCTGCCCTTCTCAGTCTCTTCTTTTGGGGACACACATCTTCCAGTAGTTTCCTGCAAAATGATGCACAACACTGTAACCTGGCATGTCTGTAAATACCCTTTGTTCTCCCTAACACTTTATGAATCATTTAACTGAATACAATTCAGCATTGAAATCATTTTCCTTCAGAATTTTGACATGTCTCCATTGTTTTCTGGACCTCTGGGTGCTGTTAAGAAATTCAGAGTTGGTGGTGCCTGTAGCTCAAAGGAGTAGGGTGCTGGCCCCATATGCCAGAGGTGGCGGGTTCAAACCCAGCCCCAGCCAAAAAAAAAAAAAAAAAGAAATCTAGAGTTATTCTGATTGTTAAACCATTTGTGACTTGTTTTCCCTTTCTGAAAACTTGCTGGCTTTTCCCATTTACTGTGGTCACCTTAAGTTTCTCAGTGACATACCTTAGTGTGGCTCCATTTTTATCCATCAAGCATTTCCATCTCAATTCCTGCCCTTTGAGTCTAGAACATTTTCTTCTGTTACTGTTTGATTTTCACCTTCAGTTTGTACTTTCCTCTTTGTGGAATAGTTGACAATAACGTTGGACATCCTGGACAGGTCTTCCAATTTTCTTTTTATTAAAACTCCCATCTTTTATGCTTTTTTGTTGTTGTTGTTCTACGTTCTGACAGACTCTGTCAATTTTGTCTTCCAACTCTTATATTGAAGTGTTTTAAGTAATTTTTAATCAACTTCATTTAGAGTGTAAATTACATGCAGTGAAAATTCACCAGTTTTAACTATAAAATTTGATCCATTTTGACAAATTTACACAATTGTATAACCATCGCCCAATCAAAAAAAATAAATTTTTGTTATCCCCTCTGCAGTTAATTCACCCCCAGCCCTCACTGATCTACATTCTGTCACCAGGAGCTCTCCCTTTCCAGGACTTCATGTGACTGGAATTATACAGTATGTGCTCTGGTATCTGACCATTTCCACTTAGCATAGGTCTTTGAGACCATCCTGCTGTGTCCTACATCAGTAGCTCCCCATTCCCTCCATTAGCATCCCGCTGTGTGGAGAACCCAGTTTCTTCATCCAGCCATCATTAGTGAGCTCTTGAGTTGTTTTCAGTTTGGGGCCCAAGCACCACCACAAACTTTCTCAGACAAGTATTTACATGGGCGTATTTTCAGTTCATGTTTTTGGCAGGTATGTTTTCATTGGGAGTAGGATTGCTGGTTGTATGCTAAGTATGTGTTTAACTTTATAATAAACAAGTAATGTTTTTCAAAGTGACCACTCTTGTTTTGTATT